GGCCCCAAGATGTTAATATGTTAACACAAAGCTTTGTTTTGTATTACCAAACTATGAAAAAGCATCTGCGAAGCACAGAATAGAAGCGTATTTGAACGAAAAAGCCGCCGAACACATATCTATGTAAAATAAACAAGCCCCCGCTGCATCCCTTATTCGATAGTTCCGAATTAGTTCTAAATTCGTCACTTAAGATATAGATTTCTAGTGAAAAAAACTGAAGAAAAATATTTTCTTAAAAGTACCACTTTTCGCCGATTTTGGACTGGTGGGGATCTAGTTCCTATCGCTCTAGTTCCTTTTTGGCGATAAAGACCTAGTACGGAACTAGAAATTTGATTCACTAGTCCGCGGTTTCCCTGCAGGGTACACATACTATATGTATGTAGATGTACATATGCACATATGTATAATAAAAATATCTGTATATATACATATGTATACGTAGATGTATATACTAAGTATGTTGCAAGCAACTTCAGAAATAATTAGCAAAATTTAAGAAACTGACATGAATAATGGGTAGACACAGATCGGACACTAGCTTGCTAACTACCCAATTTATCACTTTTAAAGCCGACATATTTTATGAGTTGGGGATACAATTTTGTGTTTTTAAACTTTTTAAATATGTAGATAAAAAATGGAAAATGTCCCAATCTTCCGAGTAGTTCAGTCAAGTTTACTTGATTTGAATTAAGTATCGCGTCAGTAATGGAAGTTCTTCTTTGGCTAAGTAATGCCGTTATTTTGGCACAATTTATTACAATCAACAGAGAGAGCATAATAGGTCTAAGCTCTTCCATTCGCAGATTAGTTTGCTCATTGCCTTCTATGAGTCCCCTTTCAGACACGTCAAGTCTTGAAAGCAATTTTTTTCGCCTTCTCTTTTGTGTTTTCTATTTGCTTCCACACGCGTCAACTTTAATTGTATTCAAGTTCTTGGTTCTTTAAATGGGAAGCAATGAAAAGATCAAAAGAGACAAGAAAACTTGAAACGAATTGACGGTACGGAGGTATCTGTACTCTTCCCCTCTCTTCTCACCTCCTTCGCCTACGAACGAGCAGACTTGAAAGCAAGACTTGACGTGTCTGAAAGGGGACTGAGTGCCTAACCGGGGTTAATCCAAAGTGTCCTTATAGTGCCTGTTAAAAAACCTCTTTTTTTCGGAAGAAACTGTGGAGGTCCGATACTTGAGTCCCCTTGTGGGAAGAGATAGATAGATATTGACATAGAAAATGGAGGAATTAATTTCTCCTCCTCCTCATGCCGACAACTTCTGTGGTGGGAATTTGTTGGTGCATATACACTAACGTAATAGTGTGGGTTAGCATTAGCAAAGTGTCTTGAAACTTCATAAGTCATTTGTTACGGCCGTGATGTACTAGAGTTATCCGTATTTCTAATCTACATTTCTGAACCATGTCTAACAATTTCATCGGCTTATATCTCCGAACAATTCTTTACTTGACTACCGAACAATTCTTTACTACTACTTGACTTGCTCTCAATGCCCCAAGAAACACTGGAACAACAATTTTCAAACGCTTTA